CTGTAAAAGCAATCTTATGTAAAAAAGTTTATATATTCGTAATTGTTAACAACGGAATGTCATTTTTGTGGGTGATAGCACTGTGTAAATGTAGGTTGTATTGCCAACGTTTCGGAGATCCTATACCCATCTTCAAGGCAAAATGACTTTCCTGTGGACATGTACTGTTAGTATTAGCAGGGGTCACTCTGTAGTCACATCGCCTTGAAGATGGAGATAGTATCTTCGAAACGTCGACAATATATCCTATATCTACACCGTGCCACCAGAGAGAAACAGCATCCACATTAGCATTGAACCGTCGTGAAAACTTCTATCTTGTGTAAGGTATTCATAGGAGATATCTTTGTCGATGAAATATCATATATGTATGATCTGAATGCGAAATGTGTTTAAAAATGTTTCTCCATCTCTAGACGATGGCGGCTACGAAACGCAATGCAGGTCTCACGTCCGCTGTACCAAGGGCGACACTCAACGACGAGGAATTGGTGAGTGTGTTACCCTCACCAGCAACTCATTTGCCCTATCAGTACTTATCGCTAAATCCTTCTCGACACCCGCACGGGCTTCACTTCTTTAAGAAAATTGTAGATCTTATACACCGTTCTCCCAGGGGAGCCACACATATGAAGCCAAATGTATGACTAGGGGGTTAAGGAGGGTAGAGGCCTTGGCTGGACAACAGAGTTGTTTCATACTGTAGCACCCTCCTGCTGTGTAATGTTATGAAGTTTATGCCCGTACAGAATGAGCACATTTTTCACAGCTCTTTTCGCTTTTAAATTATATTTCAGTCTTACCTGTTTCCTACCCTTGTCAACTACAAGAATAGTTTGATAAGTGTCACCAAATCCACAGAACTTATTGTCTTCATACAACTCTGTGTGTCTGATAAAAAGAAAACAAATAATTTACTTCACAGTAGTATTATTCTTTATCTTTTGACTGTCTCCACTGTTTTTAGTTTCGTTGAAGTAAGAAAAGGTAATGGAAATAATTCTTCCACTCTGCCCGTCAGATTAGAAAAAAATTCAGTGTGTCATCCACAGACTTGGTTGCTCTTCTGGAAGTTACAGTAACTCGAATTCGTTTTTGCTAAGCTAGCCGAATAGTTTCAAAACTCGGCACAGTTTGTAAAAGGCAGCGAATGGACCTGGGAGCGTTACAAACACTTATACCATTGTCAGGACCATGATTCTGAAAAGAAAAATATATGCCTATGTATTGTCACTCGCTTTGTATGATTTTCTTTTTTTACATTTTGCCAGTGCAGCGTTTATCATTTTTAATAGGAGTAAATATTGGTTATGAAGTAAACATGGAATCCTTATATGCAAACACATTTTGATTCTGCGATGCGACATCTTGCCATAAATCTTATGTAAAATTGAACACACCTTGCATTCTAAGGTTGTCGTGGACGTTACAATGGACAGGCTATAATAAAAAATGGATGTATCATGACTTTCAGTGGTTGTTAGTTTCGATGATGTTATCATACTGTTTTGGAACAAATCATTCCAATGGTGTGATGGGGTTTCTTGTGAAACTAATTAGAAAACATTAATAATTGCATAGTCTCATTTAGTAGAGTAATTGATCTCTGTGGCAGATCAGTCTGAAAACGTCTAATAATTGAAGGTCGATATTTTAAGGCAATTTGTGTTATGTTACATAAATGCGTATTGTGTGATTGTAAAAACAAATGAGATAGCGGTTTTCTAAAAATAGATTACGCTCCTTGTGTGGACCATTTTAAACAACCGAGAGATGCTTATTGATGTATGTTGTGCGAGCAGAAAATGCACGTGTACAAGAAAACACTGCAGGCCCTCATCTACCCCATCTCGAGTACAACGCCGCACAACTTCCTGCTGTGGACCGCTACGTCGCCCACGTACTGTTACGAGTGCGAGGGGCTGCTGTGGGGAATCGCGCGTCAGGGAGTCCGCTGCTCGGAGTGCGGCGTCAAGTGTCACGAGAAATGCAAGGACCTCTTGAACGCGGACTGCTTGCAGAGTGAGTACCAGGCTGGCAATAAAAAAGAGAACTAAGCCCTGCTCCTCTTCACGAGAGTTTAGTCTACTGACTGGGCAGGACCGATGGACGTCTTTGGCTCCTATGATCACCGACTGCCTTAGCCGATCAATCGACTGCCCAACCTAACGGACCAACTGACTGACTTGTATTTTTTAGGCAACTAGAATAGAATAACTTCATGTTCGTGATATTGACCGATATAAAATTTGTCCAACCTCATTGTAAGCCCCGTCAGTGCCAAATATTATCTAAATCCATTCTTTAGTTCCAAAGACGTAATTATTGCAAAGAACGCATGAGGACGGCCCCTTTGTCTTGTGAACAGGGGCGGCTGAGAAGAGCTCTAAGCACGGGGCTGAAGACAAGGCGAACAGCATCATCACAGCCATGAAGGAGCGCATGAAGAAGAGAGAGCGAGAGAAGCCGGAGATCTTCGAGGAAATCAGGTAGGAGAGAAGTCCCAGTCAGTGGGTCCAGCAGTGTCAATTTTCAGTGCGTTGCAACGTCAGCCAGCCGGCATTCTATTACAGCAGCGACCGAGTCGCGAAAGAAAGTATGTAATACCTTTCCTCAAGTGCAGCCTCATTCGAAGAATGTCGCTGTAAAAAACGCCGATGTTCTACTTTTCAAATTTATTTATATTTACAGTTTATGTAACATTGTAATTGCTGCTGCTAATATATAATCAAACATTTCGTGTTTTGTGTTCTTACGAACCAGCAGCCTTTGCGTTCTGGTGTTCTGTCTTGGACCTGCTAATCAGATAGCCTACTGGTGATCAGACCATGGTTCGTACGTTTCATTATTATTATATCATCACCATTAGCACCATAAAATGTGTTAAAATATTGAATTAAAGGCTTGTTGGATGCTCAATATTACCTTCCTACACTCCGACGTTATTATGCCGCTATGTTATTTTTTTCAAGATAATATATAAAATAAACAGTTCTGGAGAAACTTCCCCATTTAGACGGATTCGATGTGGCCCCTTTCTATTAAACCTAACTTAATAAAAGCGTGGTAAAGTATATTCTGTACTGGCAGCTTAAAATAAACACCAAGTTAAAAAACTGTGTTTATCCTACTTCTAGTAGAAATAATCTTTCATGAGAAAAAACAACACGCTAGGACCAGAGCAAATTCTTCGTGACTGGATGCAACCGCATATCGCGCGCCCGGAAAATAAGGGTCGTCAGACACTCATACCGAAGCTGTGCGGGACATTTAACAAAGTCGCCTTAAACAAATGGCTCGTCATCTGCAAGTACCTCCCCCGTTTGGGCAGCTGTCGCCTTCCCAGGAATGGAGACGAATTCGACGAAAATTGAGCCAAAATAAAATTGAATGCTCGTAAAATTCAGAGAAAGAGAGCGGAGTTTACAAATGGAAGTAATTTGTTCTTTAAAAGTTGATGTTTAATTTAATCTGACTGTTAAGTCAACAGTTGCACCTCGTTCTTATACTTAGAAAATTCAATGAGCTAAGTCCATGAAGAGCCCACAACTTAACGTAGCCAAACAAACACTTTCAGACGATTCCTTTTCAATTATTTTTATACTTACGTAGTGCTTGAACAGCTATGGGGATTTAGGGGCTACAGATAATAAACACTTCATCCATACTGAAGACGAAGTGCAGTCTTAATTTTAAATTAACAAGAAAGACATTGCTGTGCAAAATCATTGCACAAACTTTGCCGTGCCTGTTACACACGGAAAAAATCCTCGATGTCCCATACATACTACACATATTCCCTGTTCAGTTGAATCTGGGATAGCTGTGCACTTGTATTCAATCGAAATCGTTATAATTATTCTAGATAACAATTATTTTTATATCTTAACCTACATGCATAGGCGGCGTGCGTGCTTGAACCTACGTCAGAAAGATTATTTCAGAAAACTTGATCACATTCGGAAGGCCAATTACGCTAACCTGACTGAGTCGTTACCGGTCGATCTCAGAACCTAAATACGAATGTCGGTATATCTTGAAGTAGACCTTACAACTTTCTCCTCTTACGCTTTGTAGCAGTGGTCTTCCTCAGTCGCTCGAGGATGTTAGTCATGACCGCTTCTTTTCCAAGTCATGTTTCGCTCATCGTACTACTACTCCACATCATATAACCTGTGTTGTAGATAAAACGTCGTTAAAACAGCCAACCCTGCATTATCATTCCTAGTTTACGTCATTTAATGACGACGTGCCACAAACAGAGTTCATTAATATCGAATATCAGTGTGTGTTTTTGTATCCATAAATTATCGTAAAGTATTTGTTTTTCAGAAACATTCAACCTTTCGTTATCGTCCTGAAGAATGTTTAATTTTACGATTATGTAGGCCTACTGTATGGTATTTATGAGGTAATTGTATTAGCATGGGTTTCTAGCTCAATGAATGTTACAATCTGCTGACTCTCCATGCGCCTTCTGTCAGTCTTATTATTCAGATAACTCCAATTCAACAAGAAGCTGTGTTTCAAAGAGAAGTTATATCCCGACTACGTGGCCTATAAAATAATAGTCTAAACACCTGCTCATATATAGAAAACAAATTTATGGAAAGCATTACTCTCACAGGCTTGAAGTGTAAACCGAAAATAATTAGTAATATAATACTTCTAATTATTTTACATGAAAGGTATTTGTAAGTCCAAAACCCATGGTCTGTATTGGAATCTCTTAGTGTTTTGAAGCAACCAAAGAACGTAATATCTTAAATTCAATACCATAGGTTTCTACAGAAACCCAGAATTTAAACTGACACTGTAGTAGAAAACAGCTCAAACCCTTATGTTACGTCTTACATTTGTTTGTAACGTAATTGTGAAATATTAATTAATTATTCGGATGTTGTTAGCTGTTCATGGGGAGATGCTGCAAATAGTCTTCAAAGCTCAAAAAGAGGAAAAAAGCTTACATATTAAAAAGTGTATTCAAGAATCAAATGTGGGTTAATTTCTCGATATGTTTATACGTTCTTTCAGTTGTATTAATTTGTTGTGTGTTCTTAAAGTGTAGTTCCATTATGTGCAACGTTCGCTAACTTCATAAAGCCGATATTTATCTTGTGGCCCGTGAAACATTTGCTGCTGTAATAGAATGCTTGTTCATTCATTATGTGTAATTTAAATACAATAATTAAATTATGATGTTTTCCACCCCTAATTAATAACAGTTAACTATCTGCATTGTATTCCAATAACTGTATTTTTATTTTTAAATATGAAATTGAATCTCTTCGTAATTCTGTTAACGCCACTTTCTTAACGAATCCTAAAGCGAAATCAACTATCCTCATATCAATTTCTACTTGAATTTTCAATGTAACGTAAAAGTTTGTGGGGTGCGGAATGATTTCTGAAATTTGTATGCAGTGTTTAAGTTCTGTGTGGAAGTACTGTACATTTAAACTTCTTATTTTAAAACTGATATAAACGCAGTATAACACACGATTGTATTAAAATGGCAATAGAATACAATTTTATTAGGCTTATATTGATGTTTATTCCCATGTTAATTATATTTTTCCTTTCGTTATGAATGCACAACAGATCACTTGCGTAAATTTACTATATGACTGATTGATAATGGTATTTAAGCCTGGCAGAGCTGAGACACATTGTACATAAAGCTGGTTTGGACGTGCGTCCAACCTTCTTGTCACATCTTTTGTAGCGTTTGGGCGTGTAACCTGTGGCCTGCAGCAAGGCCTTTAACTGTATTAAACTTAATTACGTTCTATCATACGTTCATCACTCAAATTCCATCAAACGCATTTTATTACAAATTTTGTCATGATAACTGTGATTTTGTTATTAATAATATGAAATGGAAAAATCCTTTCACCTCAAAAGCTATCGACATGAAGGTAACGTTTTCTGAAACCTACAGCTTTTGATATCAGCAATTTTATTGTGCAGTACAGACCTACTACATTTTTGTGTTTATAATAATTATATTAATTCTGGAAAGGTTGTAAGAGAAATTTAAAGTAAGTAAAATTTGTAAAACTTAAATCTCGTTACAATTACCCATTTTTAACTGTTATTAGTCCGACCTTTTTTATTAAATATTGCTTTATACTATGGGTTTAATCAATTAAAAACAATTTATAGCGAAAAAATGTATTTATTTCTTTGGATTTTAAATTTTCATTGAGTAAGTACTGTTCTATTAGTATTTAGTAATTATTTTGGTTTAAAATATATATTAATCTTAATTTACTTTCAAACAAACTGATTTCCTATCGGACATTGTTTCTGTCGTCACGTGACGGTCCCTCCTTTCTGATTATCTTAACAAGAAACGTTGTTTTATTTCCCCGTGTATCACAGGGCCGTATTCGGAGTTGAAGAAAAAAGTCACATTGGACACATGAAAGCCGTGAAACAGTCCGTATTAGACGGGACGAGCAAGTGGTCGGCCAAAATAGCCATCACAGGTTTGTTTGAAATATTACCAACTTTCCAGCAAGAAAAGAGAGAAAGTGTGTCTTCTCTCTTTTTAATAAAAATGCTGACCTTCCTCTTTCCAGCATCAGCATGAAGGAAAGAAGGTAAACATGATGTGGTGGCTTCTTATCCAGTGCGCCAGCAGCAGAGGCTAGCAGTCGTAACAAATTTCGGACTTGAAAAATGTATTATCTCAACAGGTCGAGAGATTCTAGAGCTTTTGTTTGTTTAAGCCAGCATCCAAAAAGGAAAGATGGTAGGAAATATAAAAAAAAATAGCAAAAACATTACCACAAATGCGCTGTGGCGACAGCTAAAACAATGGCTGTTGGAATTTTAATTACAACATTTTGTCTTTCTTGTTTTCTTAGAATCTCATATTACATTCCAGGGAACACTGAAAAGCAATTGTCTGCAAAGTTGGCAACTTCCAACTAAATCGTAGTTTTTTCCTTTGTCACATCGCGGTCGCTGTTGCATCTTGCGGTATAAAATGTTTATCAAACAAACTGCTAGCCTGTGGTCTGGACAAAAATAAGTGGTTCTCACTACATGGATCCCTCATCGCCATGTTTCCCTACCAATGTATGGAATGTGTAAACTCTTCTGACCTCTGTCCCTCACTCAACCAATTCAAAGTCAAGTGTTTGCATGTCATGTACGTCGGCATTGCAGCCGCTCGAAACTTTTAAAATGTGTGTTGTGGCTGAAGAACTTCATTTTGAAGATCTCGTGCTCTCATTAAATTCGTGTTGCCCCATCAGATAACTGACGTATGAAGAGTATAAATTTGTACTTCAGGCTGAAGAAGAATGAATCCCGATATAGACAAAATCGTGCATCTCTTTGTCAGATTCAGAAATTGGTATCGCTGCCATCACAAAAGTCTCGTAAACAGTGGTTTATACTTCACACTTAACCTCAACTATCAAAAGCCCAAATTAGCATCATGATTATTTTGTATTAATATATCGTTAATATTAGCGTTTGTTATCCGTGTTAATTTAATGACTTCCCCCCCTACAAAATTATAATGTTCACATCGCACTAATATAACCTGATGTATGTTATTTATTTATTTCGTCATTTTTTATTATGTATATGTTTGTTAACGTCTTAAAATCATAAGGTATGCTATGAAGTGTTTAGTTACTCGTATGTTTTGTATTTAAAAGATCCAGCTGTATAAATGCTAAAACTCGTATTACAATATGTAATTTCATTGAGATCTATCCGTCATTTAACGTTAATATTTTGAGGATCTATGTAAACTGAACTTCCTCTGAATGGCGTAGGTTTGCCTTGTTTTCGTTTGTCCTTGTAGGCTATCTGTATTCCCCTTCTTGTACTGTTTACGGGTAATATTCGCCGTGGATTAATATTGTGTATTTGCATCGCTTATGTTCTTGCCCGGAACTGTTTTCTGCTTTATGTTGTATACGTTGTTCAAAAGGTTTTCCCGCCGGATTAGACGTCTGTATACAACACAAAAAAACAGTTCTGGGCACGAACATAAACGATCTAAACAGAGAAAATTAATAGATAGCGAACAGTTCAGTCGGCCCACATAGTCAGAGTGGCATGGAATTTCATTTTCTCATAAATTAGTTTTCTTGTTGTGACCTTTTGACATCTTTACGTGTTTTGTCAGAAACGTCCATTTTAACTCTAAATGTCTTCGTCATTTCTCGTCCACTTTAGCTCGCAGTTTTTCAGCATTCAGTAAATCAGTTTGGATTATGAGCAATGAAAACGTAGTATAATAAGTCATAATTTTGAAAAGCTAATATTTCCTATAGATGACCGTACCTCACATATGAACACTTTGACCTCTGATAAAACCTAACCTAACCTTCGTACACCTTATCCATATCGAGACGTGTTACACATATCTAAGTCCCTTCACAACCCCTTTCTCTGGATGCTTCGCTTTCCCCCATTCGTTTAATTTGTGTACTTGATGTGGTGTTGTTCTTTGGTGTGTATTTTTATATTTCCACAGAAACACCTTTTCAGTGGATCCCGACACACACATTGATTCAATCGAACAGGCTGAAGAAATCGTATTAGAAGGAACATCCAAATGGTCTTGCAAGATCGCAATCACAGGTATCATGGCCTGCAGAGACAGGGATCATGCTACAACCACTTGTCTAATCAAAGCGCAAAGCAAATCGATGAGACAGAAAAAGTCATGAAACCTGCACTTTTTTATTTATCATTTTAAATGGAAATAAATCAATAAGGACTTGCCGTTTCATTCTTCTCCACTAGTAAAGTCATCACCTACATACATACTCGATGTATTTCACATTGGACAAAGCCATTTTCTTACTACACTCGTAGGTTTAGAAATTCGTTTATTCTTCTATCAGCCTACTTCTTGTTCTCTGTTTCTTGTATGTGTAGCTGTACTTTGTTTCTTCGTTTGTAAACTTGTAGTTTAATTAGGATGCTTCAAGTATGTTTATCCCCCATTAAATCGCAACAGAACGCTGTACATAATAGTCGATCTTCTAGTATGCTTTCTCATTTCAAACTGTTAACCCTCCACTCTGTATGTGCCTTGACGAAAGAACATAATCAGTATTTGCAATGTTGGAGTTCATTTTTTAATTACAGTAGAACATTTAATGCTACGCCGACTAGAGAGTAAATTCCTTAATGAAAGCTCATTTAACATTCCAAAAAAGATAACTGATAAATTTTAGAACTTGTGATGGCAGCTGTTTTTTCAGGCGTGGGAATGTCGCAACAGAACGTCGTACATAAAATTTTGCATTTTAATTTCATATTATTAATTTGCAATGCTGCAATACATCCAGGACGCCACGCCATGCGATGCAATTCACATTCCAATTACAGTAGAACGTTTAGTATTATGGCGACGGAAACAGTAAATTCCTGAAAGAAAACTTGCGTATAATTCCGAAATATATTTATTAGAACGATTTTAAAATTCGTGTTACGATACGCATCAGTGGTCTATTTAACTTGTAAGTTTAATCCCCACTAAAACAAATATAATTCGTTCGTCACATCGCTTTGCAAAGTTTATAATTGTACAGTTGTAAACTAACAAGGTGATTTAAAACAGAAGATTAATTATAGTTCATTACTCATGATTTATTTCATGTCAAGTGGAAAATCTTTCAACTCTTTGGGTCTCGTTAATGGAAAGTGAGAGATACTGTATCCGATAATGATGTCACGTGACAATCCGAATGGCCACCCTGGAGCATGTAGAATATGAACAGAGTAGTGAGAATCGCGTATTTATTAACATGTTTCTTATTAATTCAGTAACAATATGATGCTACCTTAATGAAAGACTTCTTTAACTTTCAAAGGTTTTTTGAGTACTGACTCGTTAATTCTTATCAAGTACTGTAAATTTTGAATACAGGCGGCAAGAAGTACTGAAAGCTGTAATTTATCACGAACATTAGTGAAGTTTCAGTAATTACAGCCATATAATTAGAACTTGTACATGAAATGCGTCAGAACGCGAGCATGCTACATCACATAAATTTCTCATAAAGCAGTCTTCATATTGTTTACGTATTTTTCTCGTCACGAATTTAGGCTAATAAATTACCTGTTTCAATGCATATGTAAAATATTTCTTACACGTAAAAACTTGATAAACGATTAAAATAAATAAAATATAACAGAAGATAACAAGCCCAACAAATATAACAAACGGGCTGTCATGAAGGCATGCAAGAAACAAATTAATACGAATTAATCTTAATAATTGAGAATGAAGAAACACGCATAAAACCTCATTAACAATAGTCTACCATAATACCAATAAAAAATTCCATTCAGCACAGACAAGCTGATCACAGCAAAGCTAAACTAAAAGTCTAATTAATATAACATAATATATTCATGAAACGTTGCAGGTAACTTAAGTAAAATAGCATTGCGTAATCTTTACATTCTACTTTAAACACTGAAAATTCGGCCCACAGTAAAAATTATGCAACATTAACAAACAAAAGTAGGTATCGTAAGAAATGTTACTTGTTAAAACGGTTTTTAATATAAGAGCAAGTTTTATAAACTCAGAATATTTTAATGGATTCCTCGATTTATTGCTTTGTGGTGGAACATGTTATAAGAACACCACAAAAAGGAAACAATTTACTACACAAGATAGCCCTCTCTGGGTACTTAATGAAATGGAGAATATAACAAGAAAGCGTGACGTACGTATTGCAGCTTGGCATCCATTACGCAGTTTAACTTCTTCAGTGTCGATAAGAATTGTTCAGATTTGTCAACTAAGCACGATATGAATAAATTCCAGAAACTAAGATTTGATGAAGCAAGGAAATGAGGCTTCCGCGTTCATAGGCAAGAATATATCAGAGCCAGTCTCAAAAACTGTATGACAATTTCAGCATAATCCAAAGCAGATATTTTAAAAAGTACGCAGTTTTTAAATTGACTCCACCATTGCAATACTCAGTCATGAAATTTCCCTGGTTTTCTTTACAATTTACGTTTTCCCAAGACGTTTAGAAGTAGCAAAATCTATTTTACAGCCCACCCCTGTACATATATGCCCCCTGTAGGGTAAGGCCTATATGCTCTATTCTGGGCATGTTTCGTGCACTTACTTTCGTAAGGTAGAATATTACCAATGGAACTGTACATAACAACGTAGAATAGATGTTCCTTTGTAAACATAGGTGGTACTGGAATCGATAGTAGTAGTATTTTGTAGCAGTAGTACTTTTGTAAATTTGTAGTAGAATACTTTGACTTTTCGGTATTTACTGCAAACCATAATTTTTTGTGGTAATAAGATTTATAGTCATATTATATTAATGTGAGATATTTAAGTGGGCGTTAATTGCACAGGTATTATTATATGGTTTGTAGAGTAATATGTTATGCTAAATCGACACCCCAAAATATCCTTTTAAATATAAATACACTTACAAGTGTTTGTATTCAACAGACGTCGCCTTCCACAATG